CCACACCAGTCACGTGAACCTCGATGACGCAACAATATTATTTTCAACTGTACTTGTTACATAAATGTAGGGAAGACAAATATTTTTTTTTAAAAAATGATACCTTCCTTTTATTTATTTGCTCACTTTTGAAAGAAAAATATTTTTTCCTGTAAATATTTATGATACTTTATAAAGCACTATTAAAGTTTTCCATGGAAACTGAAACGAATAACAAAATACTGCGATATTGAACTGTTCACCAATTTATTTTAGGCCTAACAGTAATGTTTAACAATATAAATTGTTTTGCCTTTCTTGCTTAAAAATTGTTATGCATTTTTATAACATCTGAGTTTTCTTGTAACCTTTAATCTTATTCAAAGAAAGTAAAGTACAAAGCATAACTCATGGGTCACGCAACCGCAAGAACTAGGCACTTTTGTACTATCACTTACCCTCCAAAAGACTAAAAGGATTGAGTAGGAAACTGTTCAATCAATGCCATAGCCTGCTACTCCCTGTAGCTCAGTGGCACACTTGATTGCTTATAAGCTTATAACACTAGATTTATTAGTCAATCTCTCGGCGAACACAATGAAGATTGCCATTTTGTAGCGTTGCACTAAAACAAACGCGTTGCCATAGTCTGCTCTTAACATTGTTATACATTCTTCTTTACTTTCAATAATATGTTCTTGGAATTCTAATATCTATATAGGCTGCCGATGTGAACTTTTAGAGATTAGCACTATTTCTAATTATTTAAAGCCCAGTATTTCTCGGGGAAAAAACTTTACACCTGGTTTTAAAATTTTCGGGAAATAAAATATTTATTCGGTTTTAAGAAGCGATTCGGGAGCAATTACAGTGCAACAACAAATCAGTTGGTATAAAATAAGCAATACTGATATCACTTGGAAATTGTCTGAAATTTAATTACTAGAAATAATCAAGGAAGTAACTTCCCCATGGGCTCCCGTTTACTGCCGCATGACATAAATGCATTAATAACTATAGTATTATTTTCTGTATATTGGTACCATTTGCTGTAAGTGAAACACCTATCTGATATGTTAGAAAGAATTTTCACAAATAATTTTATTAATTAATATTTTAATAATATATTTGTCTTTTTTGACGTACTATTATTGGTAAACATATAAATATATAGCAGATCTAATTTAGACTTCAGCTCTTACGCTTTAACTTGGAAACTATAGGCTCGTACATTTTCAGAGGTTTTATGGTGGAATATAAGCTTGTTTTCTTTTCTTTTTTTTGTACAAAGCTATACACTTTCCAGGATCTCATTGGTAAGTTTGAGTAGTTAGAACCTAAAAATGGAGTTTCGATATCCGTGATAGGCAAAGTACAGATAGCGCATTGTGTAGTTTTGTAATTACCAACAAACAGACAAAAGATACATAGTGGGTTATCTGCCTTCTGCCACTGATTTAATGGAGGACAGATGCTACAGAACTTACAGTATATATCATTTCATGACATTATATCGGAAATAATAGTATACATTTCTGTGTCGCCGTAAAATATCGATCAAAATAATAAATTCAATGTGCCAAATAGCATAAGTTATTGAAACATAAAAATATTGAAATTGAAAAACTAAAATCAATTTGTTGTCTACCGGAAGTTATAAAAACCTTCAGTGATATTTTTATATGGTTTTTAGTATACGTTCTGCATAGAATTAAAGTTACATGTTAGAATGATTAAGTAACTCTAGTTTGTTTGTTTGTTTTGAATTTCGCGCAAAGCTACACGAGGGCTATCT